ACCGCGTTCCAAAGTAATGGGACGCTTTCAGTCTGCCAAACCTTCTCAGACAATCTAGTCAGTTCCCTTACTAGAATCGTTCCTCCATCCTTAAAAAGTGCCGGGGATAAGTTGTATGGGGTTAGTGCCTTGTGGTGTTTCGGAACTTCTAGACCTCCTTTTTATTAGGTGGGTCAGTGTTTACTGGCCATGAAGCTACGATACACAGAAACTGAGGATGCTGGGAGGACTGACCAACTAAACTGCTTTTTGAAGTGCTCCATCCAACGTTCAAGGTGACTTTTAAAATTGTTTATTGGCGTACCACCTACCTCACAGGCCATCTCACTGACACCAGGCTTCTTGTTGCCAGTGGCTCGAATAAGTTTGAACAGCTTCCGACTATTGCCCGATGCAGCAGCTGCTTCCATCTCACTCGCGCTTTCTGAATACCAAGCCTCATGGTCCTTGCGTAAGCGTTGTGTAATCTTTCGCATAAGAGACACGCGAATCGTTGCCCGACCGTCGGCTGCTACCTTGACGTGGTGGTCGGGCTTGCAAATCATAGTGATCCAACGAGCTGTGCTGGTGGAACGCTTGTTCCCTCAAGGTCCTACCATACCAGAAAGGTCTGTTGGATAGTGGTAAAACGAAAGGTAGTTACTGCTGCGGTGTGAATTATTACACTGTTATGGGAGTCCGAGGGTGAAGTCGTACTACAGCCAGCTAGATGGGGTGTGACAGTAGTGTATTTCCCTTGGATAACCAACAGTGCCACGTTGATACTGCCTTACCAATGCGAAGTGAGGGGTTAAAATAGGTCGGACCTGAAAATACCAATCCACCTGCCCTATAGTCTTTCGGTGACGGGGGTGAGTCCACTCTAGCCGGCGTTAAAACAGCTGACGAACCGAAAACGGTGATCGTTTGTTGCAATTCTGTTCCGACAATCGCTTATTTCTGGATGTCATTAACTATAAGCATAAGGAGTGGCACCGTCCAACATGGCGTCCACCGACATCAAACCAACGATGGACACAAATACAGAATACTGATATAAGTTATAGTTGGAGAGGATCAGTGAAGAGTTGCCTCTCCTTCCGGAGTACCAGTTTGGACTCCAATCACGCGCAAGTGCGGGCTCGTGTATGTCTGTGGCCTACTGACCACAGGAAACAAGTGATAATGAGTCATGTATTTGGTCGATTGGAAACTAGAGAGGAGTTGGCCGAGCGTTTGCAAATGACAGCAATGCTCATCCTGATAAAATTTGGCATGATAATAACTCTGTTGTTGAAACCACAGTAACTATAAGAAAAATGAAGTGATCAAGTAGCTTGACTTGAAGCTAAATATGGTAAGTTAGTCCGAGTGATCAGTTGACATCCCCGCTTGAGGAAGATTTTAGTGAATATTTGTCACACGTGCTTTAGATGTATCAGTCTTGGGTGACATCTCCAAATGTCTGGTGCAAATCCTCACCGACAATCCAGTGATGACTACTATTGCTAACATCATAGTGTTCTTGTGAATACGGGTATGTACATCTAACGTTTCATTTTCATTGCTTGAAATGCTGAAACTGTGTGCATACAAACACTAGTATTCCGATTCTTATTCTTCCTTTATGAAACAGACAGTAACAGTTCGGTTACTCCGAATTGCAAACATTTATTGCAGGGAATATTTCGATTGCGACAACACCACACTTTTTGTCTGATGTTAAGTGGTGGTTAGAGGCGATCGACAGGAAGCCCTACCGATCAAAACATATTCCTATGATGAGCTTCCTTCTTTTTTGACCACATGGCGAAATGTAATTGACCAGAGAAACAACAACGATTAGATTAGAAGTGGATGTTTCAAAGGTAACACGCCTATTGAGTGCTGAATCCAGTCATCTTTTGAAGTGGCCAGTACAAATACAACGATGTCTGTTTCCATTGTATGCAGGTAGCCATCCTCCAATCTCTTTGTGGATGTAGTCGAAATAGGCACCAGATGTATTGAACATTACAAAGAATATTTTATGCGTGAATTAATTTCACACCTCTAGCAAGCTATGCTTGACCGAGTCCACTGAACTATTTCCTCACTCATTCCACGCAACAAGCGTAACAGCTGAGAAGGTTTTACAGTGTTCCAAGACAACAAACCGACAACAGTGTACATCTATCACAATTCGGTTATAATAAGCAATTATTTATGGTCAGTATTGTCTTCAGGCATAAAGAGATGTACATTCTCACTCGGCATCTGCCAGCGTCAAACCAATGATATTGAAAGGACAAATTACATTGCTGTGCGCCATCGTTGGAGAGGATTAGTGGAGGATTTCTCGCTGTTTGTGAAGTACCTGGTTTCACTTCAGTCACCAGTTTGCATGGAAATGTATATGTTTGCATCCTATTGGTGACAGTGAAACCCGTGCCAGCTCGTCTGGAAGATGAGAATGCTAAGTGTGTATGTAGAGAGTGAATATTGAAGTACTCACCTGAACATGACAAACATTCTTCTCATGATGAAGCCTGGCATGAACTTCAGTCTGCTGTTGGAACATTGTTAAACGCGGTTAGTAACACACCCTAAGGTTAGCGAAAACCAGGGGAATCCCTCAGCTCAGTCCACATTGATTAGTGTGAAGAGACGTAATCCAGCTGCCTGTGAGCAAAGTGATTAGTGAAAGTAGCTCAAGTGTAGGCTGACCAGGTGCCTAGTGCTGAATCCTGGAAGCTCACAGAAGGCTAAAATTTATCACACTTTGATGCCCATCAAAGTTCGATCATATCCTTGTAACTCGAACTTCGTATAGGATTGTAGGTCATGCACCTTAAAATCGATTTCAATCGAGCAGTTGTGCGCACATGTTAACTTCATCTTAATTATCACCTGAAATTCATTCCTTTTTGTCTATACTTCCTCACGTTTTATGGATTTGCACTAATTCTGGTTACTTTCTTACTATGAATTTCTTCCCAATGAATTGGAAACCGTAATCAACAAGTGAACCAAACGCCGTAGTAGTTAAGTGTTAAGTCCGAAGCACTAAATTTTTCTATGGTGTAATGTTGTACTAATAGATGGCAGTGATTTACAAACTGTAAACCTCGGATTGTGAGGTGTCTATGAACTTTTCGCCGTCTAACGTGTCAACAATACAAACAGCGAAGCTACGTCCAAAGTAAAGTAGCCGAAAAATTCAAGGCATCAATCAGACCACAGGCATAGCGTTAACAATTATATGTTCATAAAAGGGTATATCATCATGAGAATAACTGCGGTGGGAAGGATACCACTATTCTGGGATGTAAAAGTGATAAGTAAAATATGACGAGAGCAGACATGAGCGATGATTGATGAGGGTAAAGTGACGTTATTAGGCAATGCGAATCACGCTACTCGTTGATAGTAAGTAGTCTAAAACTGTATAAAAGATATATATAAAAGGTATAGGCCTAAATCCGAGTTGGGAAATAGTCTGAAGGTAGTAAGAAGAGAACTAACACTTCCTTTCTTCACTATTTTCCTCCTTGTTGCATTCTACCTTGGTGTCCTGATATAGTGTTTGGTATCTTGAAATTCTACTTCGTAATGTTAAGTCCCGTTTTGTTGGTGATTGATGGGCAACAGAAATTGACTCACTAGCTGTTGCTGATATGTGTAAAAATCCACTACATATTTCTCAAAGTTCCTGTGACAATAAAAACTCTATAGACCATATCTGGAAGGTTATGAAGTCGCGTTGACGTGATTATGGACAACAAATTCCAACTGAGACCTAATGTAGTAAATAATACTGTTTCATTGTATGATAAGCCTAAAGAATCAACTGAAATAGAATCATATTCTGCCACATTTTCAAATATTTCTCCTAACATTGGGATGTAGAGCGATTGTTTATCTGTCTTAGTCATCAAGCTCAACATTGGCACAGTGTGGTGATTGGATTTGTGGGAGGTGTTCTGAATACAAACTGATGATTCCCTGAGTAGTGAAAGGGTACCATTCGTTTGTGAAACGTTGTGGAATGATGGGCAATGAAAAATAAATGTGAATGTGTTCATAAGTCGGTGGAATACTATAGCCAACCATATTTGTTTATTTCTTCACTCTGAAACACTAGACTCAGACTGCTGAGAACGACATCCATGAAAGCGTTTGCACGTATGCTTGTACGTAGAGTTCAATGTTCCTGTAATCATGTAACTGTTTTAGTTAGTGTAATTCATTATATGCGAGTCTTTCTAAATTTCGTAGCGAGTTAATATCTGATGAGTATTCTATCTTATGAACTTCGCAATCGCTCATATCTATATAGGTGACTCACTTACTGTGTTGAAATCGGAGCATATCGACAATTTCCTCACACATAAAACCAACAGTAGGCGCAATGCAATCCACTTACGACGAGTTAGAAAATGAACAAGAGAATTACCTATATTGGCTTGCAGGATAAAACGAAGGACAGACGGTGGTTTGGATACGTGCGTCTACAGGAAACCAGCACATTGTAACAGGTATCCAGACTTCAAGTCATCTCATCCAGTGTCAGTCAGTTGAGACGGTGTAGTCAAATGTCTAAATGACAGAGCTGACATACTCAAGAGTCATTGTAAGGACTTTACCGAGAAATTGAAACATATAAGAGGAGCGTTATTACTTAATAATTATCCTCTAGAGTTTATTAAGAAATTGGTACAAACATATAAGAAAGAAATAATAACAGTAACACGAGTATGAATAATAATAATAACAAGAAGAGAAGAAAGGAGTTCACAGCCCCCATTGTGTTACCCTATAAGGAAGGAACATCAGGAACTTTACGTAGAATACTCCGCAAAGCTTGAATTAGTAACACTTATCATTCGTTACTTTGAGAAAGAAACCCCGTTGTGATAATTCCTAGAATAAAAGTTACCGTCTTATTAGTGATTTCATTTGGCTTTGTCCTCTCGTTTTTTACATACTTGCCAGTTAATTTGTAACCTTATTTCTTTTCTTCCGTTTCTTCAATGTTACAGGTTCGACAGGACAAAGATTCAGGATTACTTTCTAAAGCATTGGGCTATATGTTTGGCTGGTCATAAATGCGTGCATCCTTCCTAAAGCTGACTTATATTGATGAATATTTTCATCTTGGATTACTGCCAGTACGCAGAGGCTTGTGTTTTTATAATTATCTCCGTCTTATCTCTAATGCTCAATAAAATTATAGGACTGTTCTTGTAAAAGTGTTCAGCTTTTGTTTTGGTCAAGCGAAAGCAACCGGTTTCATGTTTTCCGAGGCTGTTTCGGATATGCTTGATTCATACATGTGGGCCCACTGCAATTCTGACAAGTAGTTAGTGCATTGACTCCTAACTGTGGAGTAATCAATTTCATGCTCTCTAATCATCTAGGTTCACATATTCATTTGCAGTGAAACAGAATAAATGGCATACAATTAGGGGGGGGGGAGAAAAGATGGTTAATTTTGATGGGACGAGCCTCTATATCAATCAGTATGACATATCATATAAGGTGTATTTTACAGGTTGTTAAATCTTTATTCGAATCTAATACTTCCTTATCATTTAGATGTGACATTTACATCAGTGAAATCTATATCATCAAGCTAGATGGGTAGCAATGGGCTCACTGGTCTGACCTATTGTAGCTAATCTATACATGTACCAAGTAGAATCAGACCTAGTTACCTAGTGTGATTTAAAAAATAGAATATGGTGGAGATACATTGATGACACCTTTGTCATAATCAAAAGACATGGTCTAGAAAATCTCGAATGTTAGCACAGCTTCAATTCCATAAAATCCACTTACAAACTGGAAACAGAATCCAAAACGCTAGCTTCTCTGGACTGGAGGGTCATACAAAACACATTCGGAGCACTTGATATTAGTGTGTGTCGAAAAGTTACACATTCCAACAAATACCTAGAGTCTAGACTCTAGAGTCAGCTCACCCTCGAGAAAGTAAGTTAAACGTCGTCAAAAGTCTATTGACATGATCACAAAAGATGCCTAACAACATTGGAGAGACTTCACATCAAGTATTGGGACGTCTAACAGAGCACAGCTGAAGTTGTGAGCAGCAACCAAAAATTCTTATAATCTAGAAAAACTTGAAAAAAGCTCTGCCAACGCTGCTTATTCCTTATATTCATGCCATAGAATACCATTTGAAAGGGCAGAAAAGGGTCCCTTTCTGACAAAAAGCGAATCAATGCAGAAGATCTGCATATCTGTTCGCACCTTTCTGCGGTCAACAGAAAAGATGGATTGAGCATCTTACAAATATGGCAAACTTAACTAATCCCACTGCATTATACTTTGCTGATTCAACGTTTTCATCTATTTTACGCTCCTTTCCGAGTTATATACATTCTGTTAACCGTTCTAGATATTAAAAAATCAACTTTATTGGCATTCGAACTTCAGCTGTCACTATAAGTGTGTCAAAATTAGAAAATTCTAATCTTAGCCAAATTATTAATCAATTTGACGTCTACGAAAGATACATATTTATGGCTCAGGTACCGATTCGGATGACATCCTACACGAGTTCAACAATGGTCACTTACTGTTGGGATTCACGATGGGAGCAGAATTTGAAGCAGCTATTTGTTTCCTTGACGTGCTAATTACGAGACGTAGCAAAGGGACACTCATAGAAGCTGTCTGCAGGAAACTTACATGGTTCGGACAGCTTCTTACTGTCTACACTCGGATATCGATCATGAGGAAATGAAACTTCATTCACTCACACTGCTATCGGACACAAAATATTTGTTGCATAGACTGTGTGCAAGTTCAAACTTTTTAAGTGGTACGCTTGTGAGAAGGGCTATCGTAGCCGATTTGTTAATAAAACTATGTGAGAAAGACATGAACTCAGTTTCTAGAACGACTCTGTTCATGAATCTGGAATTGAAAGGCAATGTGGCATCGGATATCCTAAAACATTGTATTTCGAGAAAAATAAGCAGGATGTTTTATGAAAGGGAATTTCATTTAACGTTTACTAGTCGTAAATTGTTTTCCGTTTGTGTAAAAGAAAATATCCCTCCACAGGTCACCTCCATGTGTGCCTACCACTTCACCTGTTCCCGTGAAGCAAGGTACATTGGCTGTAGCGTGAGATTGTTGTCAAAACGTATGCGAAAACATATTTCATACAGGCTTTATAAGGGTGAAAGGAAATGCATCAGAACTTCAATCTTTGAGCCAACTCGTAAAGTGATTTGAAGGCTGTCCATCGAATTCACTCAAATAATTCACATTTTCTGCGCTTTCCACTTCTAAAAACATCAGAGGTCATTATGTGAATGCAGGCTAAGAGTTGACTGGATAATTTCACAAATATTGGGCGCCGAGTGAAAAGGTGACATAAGATGTAAGTCATAAATGGACAAATATAGGCGTGTTTGAATTAAGAAATTCCAACATTTCGCATGGAATCCTGGTCCGAGCTTCTTCAAGAAAAAATAATCAAAATCTACCTTATCATCAATATATATATATATATATATATATATATATATATATATATATATATATATATATATATATAAGCCGCATCATCCTGGAGAAACTAAAGGATGCGCTCGATTCAAAACTATGACCGGAACAGGCCGGCTGGATTCAGGAAGTAAAAATCATGTGCTGACCAAATTGCAACGCTTCGCATCATCATAGCATCAACATAGCATAGAATGGCAGTCAACTTCATCGACTTCGAAAAGGCCTTTGACAGCGTCGACCGACAAGTAATTTGGCAATCGCTTCAACACTACGGAATACCACAAACCTTTATCAACCTCGTTCAACAACTATATGAAGACGCCATATGACATGTAATTCACAATGGGAAACTCAGTGATGACTTTGAAGTGAAGTGGAGACAGGAGTAAAACAAGGCTGCCTAATATCACAGATCGTCTTCCTGATTGTAGTGGACTGGATCATGCAACAAACAGTGAGAAGAGGGGTATACGCAGGCTGGATCAGGGAAAAGATCCTAGAAGACTTAGATTTCGCCCATGACTTGTGTCTAATGTCACACAAACTTGAAGATCTATAGGTGAAAACTAACAAGTCGATAGAAGAGGCAGGCAGGGAAGGAAGATGGGACTTCAAGTGAACGTAGAGAAGACAGAGATGATGAAGATGCCCAACCAACAAAGACAACAACAACAACAAGCTTCAATCACCATTAACAGGAGGAACTTAAAGAAGTAGCCTCTTTTACCTATCTAGGCAAGGCAGCATCGTTTCAACTACAGGCGGCGGCACAAACGAGGACATCAAAGTCAGCCAGGATCGGAAAATCAAGACAGGCGTTCATCAGCCTGAAACCAGTGTGGCGATCTACTGCACTCAGCACAAAGAACAGGATGTGGATTTTCAATACCAATTCAGTCAAGTCAGTGCTCCTGTATGGTTCAGAGACTTGGTGGGTTACGAAAGGGATTTCCAACAAACTACAGATATTCATCAACAACTGCCTACGCTGGCCCGTTACTGAAGATCAGATGGCCAGAATAATGAGAATAAGCAACAAGGAACTCTGGCTGGCAACGAACCAACCAAGAACTTATCGCTCAATAGATATGCATAAGGAAGTGTAGATGGATTGGGCATACACTGAGAAGGCCGACTGGGAACAGTATGCTGCAGGCGAGGCACTCGAGTGGAGCCACGATGGGAAGCAACGAGTTGGGCGTCCGAGGTGAGGGTGACATGAAGGAGATTGTGTGAGGAAGAAATGAGAGCTTGTGGGCTGTCGTTGAACGAGGTTCAAAAGATTTGAGAGAACAGAATGCACTGGAGATGTGCTACTGAAGTCCTATGTTCCATTAGGAACCCAAGGGACAAACAATCATATATATAAACAGGTCAAAAACCTTATAGTTCATCCCATTGTCCAATCGTGTCTGGAGTACTCGCCATTCACACCATGGTCCATTGATACATTCGATGCATGAATGTAAGTCTGTGTTTGTCTGTATTGTATTTCAGACATCGGCTAAATGTATAACGACTATGTATTTGTTGTATGTGGCACAAAAATAGTCATTTATGCCTATATATATAATAATGATTTGAAGTTGATAAGCTTAGTCTTTTTTGTTTCTTGAATGCCGTAGAATAAATTATGATAATAATAAATATAGATACATTTAATGGGACATTGTTTATTGCTGATGGTGATGACAGATTAGCGCAATCAGGAATAGAAAAAATGGGACATAACTGCTAATTTACACGAACTAAGCTAATGCTTGTTTGGCTTTGTTTACATCTATTGTTTCGTCACTAATTGCTGCAGAGTAGCCAGCTTCACTCCTTTTAGTCTCTTTTCAAGCTGTTGATATTAGCCCATCTATGTAGGGTCTTGGCAGTCAGTCTTTGTTTATATGACGAAAAAACCTTTTTGAACAACTTTGGTTCCATCGAAATCAATTTCGTCTGCCGTTTCTATCGAATTTAAACTTATCGGTGATCTCTTCCACAGTCTCTGAGTGTCTACCGTAGTCTTTGGACATTGTCTGTGTTCCTTGTCTCTCACTTTCACGTGCCTGTATGCTTCCTCTGCATATACTACATCACAGTCTGAGCAATTTATTTAATAGACACAATTTTGTTCCTTTTTCCGTTGGTATTACCTCTTTGTCCTTCATCAGAGCAGAACGTAGATTATCTGTAAGGAAATAAACTTTATATCATGTTGAATGTGGGGATTAAGTGATTTTTCAAGTTATTATTCATCATAGACTAACATCATTTGTAGGAACATTGGGAACCTCCTCAGTAGTGTGTATCCATGACACCGTTGCGTATCGAACATAGGACTCTCATGATTCTGTGGTCAACACGTTACCAGATGGAAAAACTTGCCGTTATTTCATCTTCAATAGAATAGGTTGCACGATTCTGTTCCTGAATTTATAGGAGTTTTTTACTCCGTAATTTACTCCTTTTTTTTTACATAATTTTAAGATTTCAGCCAAATATTATGTCAAAATTGTACTTGGGTTGGTAGAATCGACAACTGGTTATAATGGAATATCTGCCGTGTGTATTTTTGGTAGCCTATGAAATCTGCAAAGTGGTACAATTTTTTGATGATGGAGAGAACCAAAGTGAAGTTCTTAGTTTCTCTTTCATAGATCTTCAAATAATGCTGGTTTTGGCTTTGAGTTTATTCACTGTAACACATGATTTAGTGATT